TGGACTTCGACGGGAAAGCTGTGTGCTCGGACCTGTCGCGATCTCGAAAGGACTTGTGGTTGATTGTCGTTATATCATGCATATTCATCCTTATCTGCAATAACATCTGAGATGCAGCTTGAGCTGCAAAGCAACCTTCCACCATTATGAAACACGCTCAATTCCGTTTCAGGGGCTTTGATTGCAGGAACAGCCTTCCAGAGTCCGAGTCGCGACTGGACCTTGGTAGCCACCGGCCTCAAGTGTGCCACAGAGGTTCTCGGCAGCTCGAATGCTAGGTAAGCAGAACCTACTGACAATAGCATTACTTTCCATCTGTCCAGAGGCTGAGTTGCGTGGGAAAGTGAACGTAACATCCAGTTGCGCGCCCGGCTCACAGAGTGCCACTTTCTTGATCTCAGCCACTGGAAGTACATTTTCGGAAGTGTAAGTTGTGCTGCGACCACCCATACGTGCAGCATGTCGCGCGTGGATGGCGGACTGTGCAACAGCATGAGCACAGCAGCTGTTGAGAGCGCCTTCCACAACACACAACCGACCAAGGAGGGCTAAGGCAGCTTCGCAGGTTTGCGGATCCGCGCAACGTAGTGTAACCAGGAAGAGCGGCAATATCAAGCCGACATTCTCATGGTATGGGCGATCCATCACTTCTTTGTCCTGCAAAGATCCTGCAGACGCCTCGAGGAAGTCTGACATCTGTAGTATCAAGTCATCTAATTGATGGTCTCTGGCTGTTGCTTCGTTGGTCCTCGACATTGTGTCAATAACAGTATTCAACGCAATGTGCTGTCCATGCAACAAGTGTAGCCACGGAAGCTGCTCGGTCCCAAGGGAATGCCCCAGGTCGGCAATCCTGCTCCTCCACGAGTTGGACCAACGTTTGAAGTCGTTAACAGCTAGCGAGATGTGATTGGAATGGCTTTGGCTCATTTTCTGAAGCGCGAAGGTATGTGCATAGATTTGTAGCAGTTGATCATTGGCCTGGTTGAGATTATCGAATTGATGCTCTCCAATTGTGTCCAGGTAGTCTGAGCCTGGCGTAGCGCTTTCTAGATCTACAGAGTCATGCTCGAATGCCGCAAATATCGTGCTTAGTGCATCTCGGAGCGCCGATGACAACTGCTCGCCTGCGGAGTCGTGATGCTCGACGAGGATTCTTGCTCCAGCTCGCAGGTGACGTACAGCAGAGCACAGATCACCCATAAGGTATTCGCAATTGGCGAACAGTATGCTTGCAATCAGTACAACGTCTGGAGACAGCCCTCTTGATGATGTCCTCAAGTCCGTCACGGCTTCTCCGTAACGCGATATGGGCTCGGGGTTTCTCGGGGAGGACGTCCGACTTGTTGCAGGTGCGCGCTCGTACAGTCCGCAGAGTGCTGATAAAGTTTTTCGGATAATACGATGAGACTGACTGGCTTCATAGACGAATTGATAGTAAAAACTCGATATCTGATGTGACATATCTTGTGCTTTCGACGTATCTCCAATGAAGGAGCTGGCCATGTCAGTGAACAGAGTAGCAACATTGCCCACAATGCCCTCCGAGAAGAATCTGTGCAATAAGTTGTCGTCTTCTGATCGTACAGTAGCTACAGAGGCAGATCTCGTAGGCGTGCTGCTGAGTCTGTCTTCGGATGCTCGAGAACGTCCCAAACGAGTTTCTGCCCACTCGCATATATAGCCGCCTTTGTCGCAACGAGCGCAGTTCGGCGTTCGTCGCTCGTCGCACTTCACACGCCGCTGCCTATCGAATGTATGAGTGCAAAGTACTTTGACGACATCTGAGTAGCTGACCTGCATGTAAGACACCCTCTCCGGCTCTTAGAATGAAACTTCTTCACCCGGGCACTTGATCCTGCTTGCGAGTCGTCGCTCAGTTGAGGTTGGTCCTTCCGCGACGCCATTGTCTTCTTCTTCGGTATTCGATATTTGCTCTTCTTGTCCTTGCAGGGTCGCAGTATAAGAGTCGATAGGCATGATTCATCCTCGACGAGTGTTGTGGTCAACATCTTGAGTTATAATACTGTGATGTTCGTTCGGATGTAGTGTTGACGACCTGGAAAATTAGTACGAAAGGGCCAAAGTGCTATGAACGGGTCCAATATGATGTAGTCAACCCTGAGTAGTGCAACCTGGGGCCAGCGAGCACAAAGCGAGGCATACCAGCTGAGAATGGCTCCAGTGTATAGAAGAAAGCTTAAGTTTGGACATGGAAGGCTACATTAGCCTGAAGCCCAACAATGTTAGAGCGTACCGTATTCTACTCCACCCAGAAAGCTAACACCAGTGGACCTGCGGTGCCTCGTGTGAAGTTCGTATCGAGCTGCGAGGAGCGCCGGTTGAGCGGTTAAGGCCACCAGCGTTGGTAATGTGGCTGTGCGAGTCTGAGGAGGCTCTAGCCACGTGGCTCTGCTTTGAAGGATCATTGCTTGCATGAAGATAACAACGTCGTGGGTCTTGTACCGTGATGAAAGGACTTTGCGTGAGCTGAACCTGCCGCTGTCTTGAAGACAGGGGGAAATGCCTTGCGGAGCATGGAGGCCATGTCGAAGTCGTGCTGCTTTCTCAGCCCTTGACTATTCTAGCGGCTGGCAACAACAGTACTTCTGTCCATGACCTGCCGATCTCCTGTGATGCCTCCCTTCCCGGAGATGGCTCCAGTCGCAAGAAAGTGTTGTGCCTGGTTACCTAGCAAAATCCTGTGAGACAGCTTTGGCATGTACATCAGCGACAAAGAACCACTACCTCGCCGAGCTGTGGATGCCTCAGACGTTGCAGTAGGTCTTTCTCGCTGATGCTATAATAGGTGCAGATCTCATCGAACGAGTGTGTTGCGTCGAGGAAATGAGTCAACGGCAGTGCGTCGCGTCGTCTGGATTCCCTGCCGCCATTTCTGGCGTCGAATGCTTTTGTTCCTGAACCCTGCATGTTTCCTGCAGCTTTTGAAGGGCCGTCTTCATTCTTCAAGTTCGTTGTCTGTATTGCATATCGATGGATACGATACAAGAATCCTTTGATAATGCCGAAAGTGATGAAGCGGCGAACATCAATATTTGCTAGCATGTTGCTGTTTTGCACGTACCATTCTCGAACAGTAAGGCCTTGCCTCAGGCAAGCAAAGAGCTGGACTATGCCAACGCCATCTACCACGTCGCCGCGTCCTGTCAGCGGCCAGAAGTCGTCGTCAGCGGTGGCAGCAGTCGTTGCAGCAATGCTACCACTCTTGAATGAGTTGGAGACCTCATGTGCCCCGACTGCGTTCTCCTGACGCGCAGGCTCGAAAGCAGTGTTCACGTATCTCGCACACTCAGCTTGCATCTCGAGATCTGTTGCGATCATGTTTGTGAACTCAGCAGAAGGTGCATAGATCGCGTTGAAGCTGAAAATATCCAGCAGCAGAATGCAGCCGTAGTACAGGAGATGGCGAACGCATTTTCTGGTAAGGTTGAGGTCCGCATCAGCGAGCAAAGCAATCTTCTTGACGCTGTTGACTCCGTCAATGAAAGGTATGACCCTTTGCATAGTCAGATCCCAATTTTCGTCCATCAAGCTCTCGATTTTAACAGTGAACAACGGCACATGCCATGCTTTCACCGGAGCTGGATTCGGCAATGTTGGAAAAAGCTTGATGTTGAGTGTGTTCACTTCGTCAATCGGGATCATGCATTCGGCGTAATTGTTCAGATCCTCCATGAGCGTTTCGCACAAGCTATAGACCTTGCCAGTGCCTGGCAACGAAGTGTCGTCTGAGAGAAAGCGAGTCTGCTCTTCTAGACTTTTCATGAGGTGAGCAAGCTTAGTGACCACAGATTTGTAGCTTGGAACATCGATTGTGTCGGGTGGTGAAAGGACAAGGGCGAAGTTGAAGATAAACTCATTTCGTGGATAGTGCTCGCCTTTGATACAGACGGGGTACGACACAATAATGCATGGTGGACTGTCAGGAGATGCAGGAGGAGGCGTGAGGCAGACGAGGTTGCCGCATAATGATTGTCTTGGTATCAGGAACCTGGAGACGGTCGAGAGTGCTAGAATGGCATCGGGGCCAGGGTTCGTTGCTGTCGAGATAGAGTCTTCAGGTACTTGATGAACAATCTTTGGTCCTTCGCCCGTCAGCAGCTGCCACGGAAGGATGCTTGTTGCGCGTCGTACCTTCCTGCGGGTCGAATCTGCTGTATATGATAGCTTTGATAGACATGGCTGTTAAGGTCGCGCTAGGATGGTTGACTCGTCATCCGCGCCCCCACCATTGCAACACCTCAGCGTCATCGTATCATGCAATGAGTGTGCATGATGCAATTTGATGAAGGAGCGAGACTTAAGGAGGATGAGGGACGTTGCCTTATGCGCCAAGGCTAGAGACGAGACATTGGAAGGTAGCCCGAGCAGTCCATCGGTTTCCAGCCGGATCCCATGTCAACGAGCGTATTGATTTGTCTATCTGTCGACCACTCGCTACAACGAAGAGACGAATCCATGTGAACATAAGGTATCGCTCGTGTTCAGATGTAGGATTTCTCACAGAGACCTCATAGTTGGTGAGACCGAATGTGTTGTTCTCGAATGCGTACTGCGCTATCCTGTACCCCTGAATTTTATCAAGAACCAGAAGAACTTGTACACTTCCGCATGTTCCTTTCTACATAAAATGAAGCGCAGCAAACCGACTAGACTCAGCCGCACCTTCCAAAGGTCACATTATCTGTGCATTGCGATCTCTTCAACACCAAACCTTCCGGCACCGCAGTCCGAGATACTGCCACTCAAACCCTAAGCGGTCATTTCCACCCTTACCCCGCCCAAACCCGTGCCCGCTCAGCCCTCATCACGCATGATCATATAGCCCCACGTCAAAAATGCATGCAATATTTTGCACACACGCAAAGCGAGCATCAGTGGCCGAGTATGTTTCATTCATTATTACGCTGCGTGTTGTTCAAATTGCTGATTCTTCCAGGTGGTCTAAGGTACTTATATACACATGCCCTCTCATCAGGGCCCTGGCTGATCAGTGAAAAAGGCGGTAGATTTAAGCGCTATATCATTAGATATTCATATCGCATATCTCTACTACGGGTGACCGTGCATGAGTTCGAACCTCATCTGATGCAACATCTCATCTCTTTTTGTCTTTTTGCTAGGCAGGTAAGCAAGCACTGTCTGGTAATACTGACTAGGTTTAGAGTAGAGTTTGGCGAAATGGTACTGTAGCTGTGTGATTCTTGTCCATATCCGGCGGAAGACTGGGGCAAGCCATAGGAGGTGAATTTATTTATCCACGGAATCTTATTCTTCGAACCACGATACTAAGCTGATGTAGAGTTTAATCAATGATATACACCTGCACAACGCGCAGTGCTCACACCTCGCCGTGCTCAGGCCTTTGCGCATTACGTCTTTCAACCCGTCGATCCCCAGTTGCGCTGATATCCTGCTTTGTCATGGTACCGTAACAGGCTACCAAGTATTGCAGCAACTCGTAGGACTCTCGATGCCATTCTTAGATCACACTTCAATCTCAAGTGCTCTTTACCTGGTCCCTCCTAGAAGGAATTGACGTTTGCTGCCAACCCTAGCGATTCCTAGCCATCTGATCGAGGATATACTGCACATTCTGTTGTCCGTTCTGCTGCGGCTGCTGCTGCGGCGGTGGTGGCTGCTGATACTGAGGTTGCGGATAGCCTTGTGGATAGCCACCGTACTGCTGAGGGGGATACTGTGGCGGAGGAGGTTGACCGTAAGGCGTATTTGGCTGACCAACAGAATGCGCAGACTGTGGTGTAGGTGGTGCAGTCCCTCCCTTGAGGTTAGCGAGGAGTTCCTGCAGGTTCGGTGGTTGACTTGTAGCACTGTTGGGTGTTGGGTACTGTGGGTGAGGTGGTTGGGGCGGCTGTGGTGGTCGGAAGGGCTGTTGCGGTTGAGGCGGGTACTGGTAGTGCTGAGGTGGCGGCGGTGGAAAAGGCATGGTCTGGTGCGGTGGTTGCCACGGGGATTGCTGTTGGTAAGGGCTTTGGGCAGGTGGGAAGGGCGGCGGAAACTGCGGTCGCGGGGCTTGTATGTTGCCACGCTCTTTCTGACGTGCTTGCAGAACCACATCTGCGGCGACCGGCACATCCAAATCGACGTACTCATTGAAGGTAACGTTCGATGTCCCGTGAGAGCGGTCAAAAACCTGCAGCGGAACCTTGCTTCTAGCTTGATGGTGTGAGGCCAACTTGACCACAGCCTGCACGCCTTCCACTATTTGTCTCTTGACCACTGCTGATAGTGGTGTTCGCTGATTCAGCCAAGTCGTCCCTACTTGTAGTCCCTTCCTCTTGAAGCCATCTTCGACCCAATTGACGAACGCTTGTGAGGTACTTCCATCGAGCACTATTATTTGTAGATCTGGTACGTATCGTGGGTCTCTGCGTGGATATGGCAGGCTGGCCTCGTCATCGTATGAGGACGATTGAGGGGTGCTGAAGCCGCTGCCGTACACGGGTGATCTCCTATCGTCGCGACTGCCTGCACGATCGTCTCTGCGATATCGGGGCGGCGATGGACTTCTTCGATCTCGAAACACTTCCCTTGTTCTGGGCTCATCTCGGTAATCACTGTACGATCTTCGCTGTGGCGATCTTGAGCGCCGTCGATTCTGATTTTGATTGCGATTGTTTTGGCTCTGATTCTTGTTCGGTTGTTGTTGAGACGCCTTGGAACCTTTTTGAGGCTTGGAGATCTCGAGATGCACCTTGCGACCTCTGATCTCGACTCCCTGTTCAGCATCGAGAGCAGCCTTACAGCTCTCCGCCTCATGATATTGAACGAAGCCGTATGCTTGCTTGATAGATATCTGTGCTAGTCGGCCAAAGCGATGGAACCTGTGAAACAGGTCTCGTTTTGTGACTTTCTCACTAGGAAGGTTGCCAACAAATAACCTGCTGCCCAGCGGAAACCTATCCCAAATGCCCTCTGTCACATATAATCTTTCACTTTCGAGGAAGCTGTCGTATATGGCCTGGGTTCGTGGAGACCAAGGTCGATCGGAGGGTTCAGTTGCAACTCGGGAGGGGGGTGTCGGCTGTCGTTGCTGTGTCCCTTGCCGGCTGTACTGCATGTGCATTGCTATTGCCTGCTCGTTGGTCATGCCGGTATCGAAGGGATTGGCCGGGTGGGCTTGGGATGCACCCATTTGTGCCTGACCCGTGCTGTTTGCATTAGTATTGGCTGCATAGCCATTGGCGGCAGCTTGGTATGAAGAGAGAGCCTCATTGGAAGCAGAAATGGGCTGCTGGGCTTGTGCATGTTCAACATATGTGGGGAAAGCAGTTTGAGTATCCAAAGGAGGCGGCTTCTTAGGCAGACCAGGAAAAGAAGGCAATGAGGATGTCTGGGCATCAGGCACAGAGGCGTCGGTTGTGATGGCAGGGAGGTTTTCGGTAGGTGGAGCAGTAGATGTGGACTGGGTGATGGTATCAAGCAACGACTGGTAATCTACACCAGCTTCTGGCTTCACTTCTGTCGCAGAGTCTGCGGTGTTCCCATCTGCTAGTATGTTTTGTGTCCCATCTTCTTCCATTCGAGCATTTCCTTCATGTGTTGAGATGTCATGCTGTTTATGTTCGTTGTTCGCGTTCGCAGTCGGTTGAGCTTGATTCGTATCGAAGCTTTGCGCATTGCTGGCAAACTGTGTATCGGTGCCATTCGTGTTCCAACTCGATGCTACTTGGCCAGTGGGCTGGGGTTGACCAGCTTGATTAGTGTATTCAGGCACAGTGGGCTCAGGTGGGTTTGCGACAACAGAGTCTGCTTTGCGAAGGAATTCGTGGAATGGGTCATTTTCGTCCTTGCTTGGAGAGGTCTTGTACGCTGGATTTTCTAGAGTGTCTCCATAATGGGCAAAGTTCTGGTCGGTGGGGATGTTGTAGGTAGCAAGATCATTAGAGGCTTGATCCATCTGGTTGAGAAGCACAGGAATGTTGGCAGGCTCTGGTACATGCACAGGTCGTGGACTTTCAGGTGTTTGAGATCTTGCGAAGCGTTGTTGCTCGATGGGAGGACTAGTATTACTCATAGTACTTTTCTGTATCCTTGCATCAGGCCAATACGTAGAGTAGAAGTGCGAACGTGCTAAGTGTAAGTGGACTGAGGCTGAGATGAAACCAGAACACCCGCTGCAAGTAAAGTTAGGCCTGCTGGCGATAACAGAGATAACCTAGAACAAGTGATGAGCAGCTGACGGAAGTGTAATTGCGGCGATGATGGAATTATTATCGGATATCTCAGCAGACAAGACGAGGCAGGCTCGTTGACCATGGCATCAAGAAGCGATTTTTGGAGGCAAGAAGGTCGCGAAATGTAGTGCAGCAGAATCTCTTAGTCATTTCCACCATTTTGCAAGCTTGAAGGTGGGAAAATCGCAGTTGAATCACCCATTTGACGTCAGTCCCGCCAGTACTTTATCTTCACTGGACGGATTCCGACCTAGCTCTTCCTCCTCTGTACACCTTTTCACATGCTTACGCTGCCCGATGCTACGGTGGCTTGCAGTAAGCACCTTCTTGGGAAGGAGTCTTAGGAATAAAGTTCCGTTGCAAGGTGAACCTCTCGCACTGCGATGGCTATCCACAACATCGACACGATGGAATGCTGCTGAGCCAGATTTTGATGCTGCTAGAAAATGGCATGCACAGATGGGACAGAGACCTCTTCCAAGTGAGATTGGTGAGGTCTCGTATGCTCGATCTAGCGGGCCAGGAGGTCAAAATGTGAACAAGTGAGGAGTTTTACGAACCTCGTTGGGCAGCTGCTGATCAGAGCAGAGTGAACTCTAAAGCGCAGCTACGCATTTCTCTCGACCAGCTGTTGCCCATGCTGCCTACGGTTCTGCATGATGGTATCCGAAAGTCTACCTACTATGCAGGCAAGACGAATTCTCTTCTAATCCAAAGTGATGATAGCCGAAAGCAGACTGCGAACAAGGATACGTGCTATCGAAAGCTCAATGAGCTGGTCATGGATGTGTACAACCAGAATGTTCCTGGCGAGACATCTGAAGAGCAGAAAGATAAGGTTAAGAAATTGCAGAGAGCCGAAAATGAGTCAAGGTTGAAGATGAAGAAGAAACATTCTAGCAAAAAGGCTGCACGTAGAGGCGATGACTAGGCCAACAACGCCAGAAAACTTACCTCGAGGGAGATACGTCGCCGAAACGGGAACTATTGTCATTGACTTCTGTTCACTGAGCAAAAGTGGACGGAGAGGAACACAATACCGCACCCCCAAGGATCGAACACCTTGCTTCCTCGCGTCGAACTACAAAAACAACACAAACCCTAAGCGGTATCACAATCACGGACCCATACCCAAGTTAACCCCAGTCCTTGGGAGATCGTGCCCGTGAGATACCGTTAGACACCTGCACTGGCAACTGGGTCGGTTGGCACTCACCGGGATATCTCTGACTAAACTCTGCGGATGCCCTCATGGGATAATTTCTGTCATTTCTGCAACAAATTTTGAGCTCGTCAAAATATATCCCTTCTCGAGGGAATGAAGAGCTGCAGACGAATGTGGAATGCAGGGGAAAGTCTCCAGTGCACTTTTCGCAGACGTCGTTGTACTCAGGCAACTGCCATAACAGCAGTGAGAAACAACTACCAAAGCCCACTATTGCTTTCTCACCAAAGGGGTCTCATCACAATGGCATGACCAAGCAGCTGACAGCGACCCGTAAGCCCGTCTTACCAGCGTGACCACATATGACACCCCAAAATATTTCACAAGAGGCGTCTAGGGCACAGTCTCATCACGATACTCCCACTCCTTCCGTATCAAAGCTGTGCCCTTAGCGAGTCCTAATTTGCCCGCATGCGTGGTGATCACGCCTCCGCGTATTTCTCTCTCTCTCAGCTAGACGCCCTTTCGTCGTTTCCTAGCCTGCACTTGTCATCATGCTCATCCGTGCTTCTCACTGCCAGTCCACATTAACACCCTCCTCCCACTCCCAATCGCAACTTCCTCTATACTTGAGACCGATCAGTCGTGCCTTCGTATATGCGTGCTAGGTTGTGCCTTCCTCTATGCCATGTCGCACCTTCCTCCCGTGCATGTTGGGTCGTGCTTTCTT